AAATATTTGCAGATGATGAACTAGAGATACAAACATCAGAATAGTCGTGGGTTCTTTTTTTTTTGTTGTCGTCCAATAGATCGATGCAGCAACACGATAAATTAAAGGCCACTGAAACTGGAACCCGACAGTTAAATCACTGGCTTGTATAAGAAGGCCCGATATGGTGATCAGATTAAAATAATAAGGTGGCTTTAAGATGGATTTAGACGGGGAAGAGAAGTCAAGAACAGCCCTTTTGATGCCCCAAAAATTGTTTTCGTTTCATAATTTTTAAGGAGTTTCTGAGTTCTCTCTAAACAATCACCAAAACAAAGGGCACACTCATGGGCATTTCACCTGGGTTCACTTTGAGCGTATGTCTGATGTTTCACGACGGTCGCACCTAAAATGGGGGATTTGGAAAGTGTCTGCGGTCTAACGGGACATATCATATGTCACTTACCTTCATCCGTTATGTAACATCTCTCGCAATGTAACATGGAGTTGGTGATATGAAGGACTGGACTGTACTCGTCACCAAACCACGCTCTGCACACCACACAGCTAAAACAGTTAACATGCCAGTATCGGTCCAATTCTGCTATGTACATCGATGGACTTTTCTCAATTGAGGTGCCACAACTGGCACATATCACGTGATTGCTTTCGCCATGAATGAATGTCTCGTATATACTATAACCTTCAAAACCGTTTACTTCTGGAGCTGCGTCGGAATTTCCCGGGATGTTATCTTGGTAATACTGGTCTCCATTTTCTCTCAGCAGCTTTGCGGGCGTCTTGTGGTGAACATCACTTTCTAAATGTCCGTTAGTGGGAAGCACCTCTGCTTGTGGTTTTGAGATGTAATCTGAATAATGTCTTTCATTCTCTTCGTGTTCCAGTTGTTTACGAAGCGTGTATTCCTCGTCATTGTGGTATCCGTTTCTTAGGACAGACGTTTCTGTGTTCGGTCCACTGTAATTGCTATTTTCATCATAAAAGTGTTTGTTGTGTTTTTCTTCAGTTAGGAGGTCAGCAAACATTTCCTCACTGACTGAGAATTCTACGGGAGGCTTCTCCACCGGCGTAATGATGACTTCTTGGGCTTGTGCTTGTTGTCTCAAAGCAGTTCTCTCTCTCATCTGCCTTTCAGCCTCTTGAGCCACTGATTCTTCTTCTGCTTTAAGTTTCCGAAGATGTTCTTCCTGGTCAAAGGACTTTTTCTCTTTGCGGACCACATTGTCTTCGCTAACATAGTCAATTCCATTGATCCGCGTCAGCGATTCGCTACTACTGACTCTTCTGGGAGGTTCACTATGTCTAGTATCCTTCTTTTCACTTCCTATCTTTTTGCATAAATTTTTCTGCCAATAGTCTTCTTCTGCTGCAACCGCTTTCAAAACGTCTTCGTCGCTGGAGTGGCTTTTCCTTGGTGGAATCTCATTTCGTTCGCCAATGTTATCATTACGCGCTCTCTCTATTTCTTCTACATCATCTTCTTCAGCATCCATAGTCGCCCTCATTTGTACCTGACTCATGAGGTACTTCGAGTTTTCCCGCTGTTTCCGATTTTTTTCCTCGAATTCTCTTCTGTATTTTTCTCTATATTCAGCATCCCGCAACTGCTCTCTCACCCTCTCTTCCTTTTGTTTTTGTTCCTGTTTCCAGCTAGCGTCGTAACCTTCTACCTGAACAAGATTCGCAGCCACGTAAACAGATGTATCATTGCCAATCACGTTTGTACCTTCTTTCTTGTGTCCCTCATGCATTTCATCTTCCTGTTCATATGAAAAGTTTATGACTCGTCCCCTCGCGGCTCGATTTTCATCTTTCGGAGATGTTTCAAACACTCCATCTCCCCACTTTCGAGTTTCGCTCTCTACCGTAGCTACAACCACAGGATGCAACTCAGTGTGACTGGAGGCACTATTTTCGTAATCATATCTCTTTTCTTCCTGCTGGAGTCGTCTTTCCAAGTACATAGTCGCACCTTGCCGATCTACGCCTGCATTGAAACCCTGTAAATTATCTTGCGTGTCGTGAAGTCGGCGTTCCTGAAAGTTGTTCTCTAACTCTTTCTGAGGCAAGTTGGATGGTTGACGTTCTCGCATATCGTCACGGTTGTAACTATCTTTCTGATCAGTGCGAGCAAACACGCCAAACACTTGTGGACGAGACGACATTCTGGGTTCTTGCGGTGGTTTATTGACTTCGTTTTCCCCGCGGTGTTTAATGTCTTGTAAAACAAGTCGCCTAGCACTTTCTATTTGTTCCTTATTATTTGGCATGGGCTCAACGGTACTTCTGCTGAAATACGAACTTTCTCTTTTAGCTGGAATTACATCTCTGTCATTCAAAACCCTTTCTTTGACTGGTATGAAGTCGTACACTCCAGGTTGCTCGTGTCTATAATCCCCTTGGCCTTCATTTTGTGTCGGCTGTTGGGGTCTTGGTTTGGCAGTGACCATAATCGGAGAGCCAAAAACCATGGCATTGTCACCTTTAGATACTTTGGTTGGCTGATTTCCATGATTTTGTAGACCAGGACGAACTTCTCTTGATTTCCAATCATCGTCATCGATTTGACCTTGATTCCTGCCTCTGTAACCATAACTTCCTGGATAGTAAAGCCGGCTGTGTTCTGAATAATAACTCTCGTCAATGAAACATTTCTCTTCGTTAAGATCAACGCTCTTTGACGAAAAGGTTTCGTCGTTTCTATGATAAGCACCATTTGGTTTGAACGGTATACTCTTTATGTTATCTCGCTGGTATGTTCGCTCATCTCTACGTTGTGGCAGAAATTGACCATTGTCTCTTTCAGCGTATTCTTTATGGACATTCTTTCTGCCCTCGTGTCCTGGAGGATTCGGAGAGGCCTCAGGTAATTCCACCCGATTGGGCTGAATCCAGGTCTGCTTCACAACAACTCGATCATCTAATAGGGTGTTATTTGAAAGAGATCCATCCATGGGAGGGCTTTTATCGTAATAGCTATCTGAATCGGGAGAGTACGAAAATGGCTGTTTGTGTAAGTCATATCGATTGTAATGATCATGGTCATTTGTTGAGCGTACTGTCACTACTTGCAACCCTCTGTCATCACGTTCATTCCAGGAAGGAGCATTATGCTGAACAGGCACTTCTTTCACCACCACTTCGTCAAACTTCTCTGGCGGAGGAGCTCGAATCTGGTCGAAGTATCCCTCTGGATCTTGAAACACGTCGTCCAGCTCCTCCATTCCAGAAATGTTCTCGCGATGATAGTGCTGCCTAACTCTTTCCTCTGCTTCTTCTTCTGAGCGGTTCCTTCTCCGCTCATACTCGTCATCTGAGTCGTAATCGTCTGGGAAGCCATGCCAACTTTTTGTTCTCATTTCGCGTTCGATACGCTTCAGCTCTCCAATGTCCACCAGAGATTTCTGTGCTGGCGGCCTGCCTTTCCTGGGAAGAGTGTTCTCTGCCTCGATATCTGTAAACTTCCTGGTTAGGTCTTTCACTCTAGTCTTACGCTGTACTTGACCCTGCAGTTCATCTGTTTTCGATGGTGGACAAACAAAATCCTTGTACGACATGTTTTGAACTCCAGCAGAGGGGGCATGATAAGGCTCTTTTCGACTCCTTTCACGCTCACTTTCTGTAACCCGCTGGGTGGAATGATCACAGATGTTATGAAAGGAATCATCGTTAGTGGATTGAAGCTCGGAACGAGATGACTGCTTGATTTCCTCGTCATCAGGAGGTCTATATTTTAACTCCCGTACTTCTTTCCTCCACGGCATCTCTTCCTTCTCCTTTTCTTCGCCAGATAAAAAGCTCTCAAAGGATTTTTTCCTCGGTCTAGCAACAAAGTCACGATACGAGAGTTTCCGATAGTCTCTGGTTGCTTCTTGTGACGAATGAACATTTGTGGCAGACGAACGCTTCACGGGCTCATCTTCGAGCACTGATCTTTTCATTTCACGCACTTCTTTACGCCATGGCATCTCTTGCTCCTCCTTATCTTGAGAAACCAACAAGTCTTCCTTTGGTTTTGCGATAGGTTTGGGTGAAAACTCTTTATAGCCAAATGATCGGTCATTTTGTTCCGGAGCAGAGTGAGCTGGAGTCGCAGACGTTTTCTGGTATTCTCCTTCTTCGTCTTCTGCCATCGATTTTTTTATTTCACGTACTTCCTTTCGCCAAGGCATTTCTTCCTCTTCTTTTTGGAGCTGAGCGTGAAAAATGTCCCGACGCTTTTTTGAAGGCACATTTATGAAATCTTTGTAAGACATTTTTCGGAAATTTGGACTGGGTGACGAGTCCGGTTTAGGCGGTGGTTTGTCACCTTGATACTCCAGGTCATCTTCTGTTCTTGGTTTCTCCTGAAGTTCCCTTACCTCTTTCCTCCACGGCATCTCTTCTTCGTCTTTGTCATCCCTTGTAGTCACAAACGCATCACGGGTCTTTAGCGAGGGAGGTCGAATCCGCGTGTGCTCTGCATTCGATTGCTGGGGTTCTTCTACAGATGCAAATCTTCTTATATCTTTGACCTCTCTTCTCCATGGCATTTCCTCGGCATTTTCGCCTGCTGAATTTTTCTCTCCATCGAAAGCGTACACTTCTTTTTTAGGGGGCGGAGCGACAAGTTCGAGATACTGTGACTTACCCAATTCAGAACGTGGCGAGGTAGGCCGTGGCGCATAATTAGCATCTTGCTCTTCATCAGAAAGAAGATGTCTTTTCTCTTTGACCTCTCGAACTTCCTTCCGCCATGGCATCTCTTCCGCTGGAACGACGGTATTCTTTCCGCGTATGAACGTCTCGCGGGACTTTTTGCGTGGAGCGCGAACAAGATCACGATAAGACAGGTTTTTGGCATCCGTTAAGTTTATCTCCTCAGGTTCTTCCCCCTGTCTCCTCTTGGACTCTTCATAACGTCTCTTCACATAGTCGGAATACTCTCCGTTTCTGTCTTTATCTAAGCGTTCATCATGTTTCGAGCTTCTTTGTTCCTCTGAAAATCCTCGTTGATTCTGCCAAGTGTTCATTTGCTCATATCCAACCGAGGGAACGGATTCTACTGGTTCTTCAACTGACACTCGGTATATACCTTCTGTACTTGCGGTAATTTCATCAAAACCGTTTGCTCTTGGGTAGTCATTGAAGCTGCTGTAGTCGTAATAGTTGGACACTGGTCGAGAGGGCCTCTCCTGCTGGCTTTGCCTTGAGACGTCAGAGGCAACCCATTTTCTGTCTAAGGAGGACTGGAAACCAGCAATCCGTGGCCGCGTAGAGGTGCTCAGTGGTGTGGGTTCTTTAACGGGGCTATCAAATGCATTTCGTTTGTTCTTTTGAAGAATTTCACTTTCCTATAAATAGGAAAATTATGACAATCATTTTCATTGACATTAATGCATTATCAATATACAGTTACTGCGTGTGTTTTATCCAAAATGACTGGATAGGAAGGTAAACATCTCGCTCAGAATGTAATTAGTGTCAGACTAGCTATAAATAAGTAGTGCTTTGCTGCCACAAAATAATTTCATCACACCTTCCGCGCTTGAGAGTCTTTATCTTCAAAAGTGCGCTGCTTTTCTAAAAGACCAACATTTGCATCTCTCGGAAGGGCAACTCTGGATGATCTCTTAAGGCTGCCAGTATCTGTTGGCGGTGGTTTATACTGGCCACGAAGAATCGACGAGTCCTGAGTGGAAATATAAATAAAGGAAATCAGTAATGTTTACTAAAAGAGGTTCTTCTTCGAGTGCTTTCGGTCATAATCTGTATCTGCCTCGAGTTCTAAAAACAACCTTATAATCTTCGGGTAAATTTGAAGCAAGGTTACAGGATACGAAAATACCGAAAACACCAAAAATACTTCGATAGTGCTTCGACGATATTTGCACCAACTTTCGAATACCAGAAACACAGATCAGTTTACACAACTATTGATGCAATTATCAAGTTAACAGAAGTTTCATCCATGTCAAGATAAGGAAAATGCTACAGGAGCGACTCGAACGCTTAATTATCACCTCAGACCTGGAGTGTCGGCACTGTTGATGAAGCGACATGGTGTTAGCTCAAAAAGAAAGCTCAAAAGAAAGCAACAAGCATATTTTATTATTCATAACCTAAGGAGATGGATGGATCACTTATCTTAATTAACAAATGAAACGACTTGAATTTCGGATGAAAAATAAAAGTGTATTCACCTGTTCAGCTCGCTTATCAAGTTGTTCGAAAGTTGCTTTTTTCTCGCTCAGCTTAATCTGTTCACGTTTTGGAATCATGACAGAGTTGGGACGTATTGCTTTTCCGTCTGTGGCGGACGTACGAAGGTTTCCCTCGAGAACGGCTTTCTCCTACCGAGATGGAGAGTAAAATAAGCTCTTCATACTGAAGCACCCACACACCGCAGACAACATGTCTTATCATCATGCACAGTTTGGTGCATCCAACATTGTTATATTGTAACTTGTTCTATGACGTGTTTACCCATAATTGGTGATTTATATTCTGCCAACAAGCGCATATTAACAATGCAATTTAAAACAGTGAAGAATTTAAACATTGGTCTTTAAGATTACACAACAATTTCGCTCGTTTCTTAATCGTTGCATTTTACAGTTAGCACGTATCAAAATAAGCTATCTTCCGTTCGCTTAAGTCTCTTACAGATGATTAAATTTTGTTTAATTTAAGAAGCGTCGTTGCCCAATATAACAAGCGAAACCGTTCCAAATTGAGTCGAATAAGTTAATTTGTTTCAAGGCAAAATCCAAATATTTGCTGCTTTGTCTGCTGCAAATTTTAAACATAAAAGTCTCTGGAAGCGGACCGAGATGATGATATATCATTATCTAGAAGAATTTAAAATCGTAGGTATATTTTCATTTTAGTCTTGTATAAGTTCAATACCCTTTGAGCTTGATAATCACGTTGTTCAAAATCTTTTTGTTTCTCACGGAGTTTCACATCTGATCTTCCTCCAAGAATTACTTTTTCTGGTCTTCCATCCCCATCTGCGTGCGGCCGTAACTTCCCCTCTAACACCGCACTTTCCTGTATCGAATATACAAAGAAATATCGTTCATACAAGCTATACAAAGATGTCATCCCGACACAGAGCGATTATAATGGCTAATTATCATGCAAATGTAAACTGCCACCTGCTTTTACAGATATTTATCGTTTATTTTCATAAGAGCGGGTTGCTTTTGCAGTCCAAGTTCGTGGAAATGCCCACTTAATCATCTGTGGTAGTCACAAAAATCTTTGTAAAGACCATTTCATTTAAACCATTTAAAAGCTGGTAAAATTAGGTAATAGTCTGCGAAACGAACAAAAGAATTTCAAGCAATTTTTGAAATATGCTATACAAATAAACACTTTACAATGTGGCGAGGCAAGTTTATGTAACGTGAAACATTGACTAAGTATAACGAATCAAATTTGTTGAGTGAAAAATTTGCTAGTGCGTTATAAGGTTCACAACTTTAGCGGAGGGTCTAGTGTACACGGAGAAAACTACTTGGCAACAATACTTGTAGTGCCTTGTGATTACTTTTCATACCGTAGTTGCTTGACGCTGAAGTTTTTCGTAGTTTTGGTGTTTTTCCTTGAACGCTACATCAACAGAGCCTTGTTTCTGCAGTGCCTTTCTTATCTCTCCAGGTCCCCAGGACTTTGGCCGAGCTTTGCCTTTCAACACAGCAGATTGCTGGCAAAAAAAATCACCAGAATAAAAACAGAACCGACAAAACTAAACTCGGTGGAAGACTCGATCTTTGCTTAAGGATAACGACAGCTGATATCGACACTTCCTCAGTAGCCCAAATGTGAACAAGTATGCGTCATGTTTGTTTAATGACCCTCGGGTCTGTGAGTTAGCGAGCTAAACAAGAGAACGAGAGCTCCGTCTCCGATAACTGGCCTGGGTTATTTTTCTTTCTATGGGCACGTATGTTTACTCTAGAGGTGTCCTTCCACCCAAGAAAAATGAATTTTACCGAAGAGTTGCCGGGAAAACCTGGAGAATTTCTAAAGGAGGAGGGGGGGGGGGGGGG